CTGCAGCCAGCCTCGCCACCCTCGAAGTTGCATGCACAGCTGAATCTGGAATCCCAAATGTCGTGAAGAAGGTCACTTTGGACGAAAAATCGGCACTAAGAAAGAAACAGCGCACGTTCAGCCCATCTGCGGGTGACGTCTCATCAAGTGACTCAAAGCCTAGCATGTGGGCCACTCGGACATTCCCTTTCCATCGCGCTCGATCTGGTTCAGACCCGACTCGCAAACGCCTGGGAATGCCCTCGTTTGGATGGCCCAAGCCGGTTGCTGCGAGCACTTTGTCACCCATGACGTCGGACTCGACCATGGAGGACAGTGACGGAGATAGCGACCATATCTTGGTACCATCCCCATCCCGGAGGCGTACGGGCCTTATGACTATCGCCGAAAACTCGGACGACAATTCATCGGCCGTCTCATCAACTCTACGAACTCACAGGCATCCGGTTAGCAGCGACGCTGAGAATCCTCGGGAGGTGCCTCTCCGCTGCCAACCTACTGCGACCAAGTCACAATCGACATGGAAGCCTATGCCAAAGCCTCCAGTACGGTTGAGCCGTAAAAAATTGCCTTCGCCACCACTCTCTGAGGTCTCGCCGCCACCAAGACTTTCGTCACCGCTGGGACCGGAACGTCATCTTTTGCCTCCCCGCCCAAGATTTCCTCGTTCGATGAACTCGAGATCATCTAGCGAGTTGAGATTTGGAAAGGATGGTATGAGGATACCTAGTCTTGGTGAACGGGGGGCTGCAGCCGATATGTATCGACGTGTCCTCCTGCGGAGTGCGCACTTTGCTGCTAGGAAGAGGGAATTGGCAAGACTGGCGAAAATTGCTGCTCAGGCCAATCCCGAGGAGGTCTATGTCTTACGCCTGAGTGACGATGTCAAGGGTGGAGTTGTTGTGGTCGCCGAAAGTACCAAACATAAACAAGAGAAACTAGACAATCGTATGGACATCGTTGAAAAGCAGGAAGAAGAAGAGCAAAGCGAGAAGATGGACGTAGACACGCCCGAGTGTGGTGACATCGAGTTGCTACCAGATATTCCTGATATGGATTTCGAAGAGGATCACAAGATGGTGTCTGCGAGCCCTTGTTGACACCAAAAACCTCGTTCTCATGGATATAGGAGTTGCCATGTGGCAACTCTACGTTTGATTCTTTGGCATTGTCTTCATCGTCATCATCTCCATCATCGTCAATCTTCTACTCTCCTTGCTCTCATCTACAACTCAATCCGGTCATTTCTGTGCATTTCTATCTGTTCATTGGATCATCGGAGCATTGCTTTTCAATCCATCATTCTTCTATCACCTGTGTATCTTTTATCAACTATCCCTGCAGCACTCATTCGATGTTCGGTATTTCTTTGGTCGCTGGTTCGGTAGCCAATTTTCTTTTACCTATCATGATCGTATCTGTTCTCTCATGTCACAATCATATTGAAAAATATCAGAAGTAGTCATCTATCCCATACGAAGTTCAATATAGACTAAGATCGTTATACTGTGAACCGACTTTATGGAGCCAAACGCTCTATTATCCATTCCGGTGCATCGGGAGCTGGAACTTCTCGTCGGCGATATCTGACACGATCATGTAGCCGACTAGGTTGTCCTGTCCAGAGTGACCTTCTTCACGACATTTGGGATTCCAGATTCAGCTGTGCATGCAACTTCGAGGGTGGCGAGGCTGGCTGCAG